ATTATATCATACACTGTCAAGGCGTAATGCTGGGGGATTTTCTACCCCAAAACTGACAAAGAGCCAAACAAAAGACAAACAAAATGGACACAAAATGTTCGCTTTTCATCTTCATTCATCAATAATATTTCTGGAAATAAACTATGAAAGCAGTGATATAATAGAAGCGGATAAACCAAGAAGTAAAAATCATGTTGTTAATATTTTTTCACCCTCTCCACATAGAACAGCCCTTGGCGTGAAAAAGCACACCATCCCTTGTTCACAGGGTGGGTCACATACATGCATGTGCACCAAAGTATAAACCTTTTCATATGCATACTGTTTTAGGCATCTTTAGACAGTTTATAAGATATATTGGGAAGTAGCCTACAATATCAAATATCTATATCTTATACACAATGCGAAACTGGAATTTGCGGGGGGAATGAACCAGAATTTCTCCCTAGGATGGGGGGCTCTCAGCATCCCCCCATTGTAACAATGGATTTGAATTAGTAATCAGTAATAATAGCTACCACGTTTCACTTTTCTTCTTTAATGCAAATCTATCAAACAAGTACCACAGGTAAGATGAAAAAACTATATCAAGGTACCTGTAAGGATATTCTGTCGTATTTGTCTGAAATAAGGATTTCTGTGAATGTCGCCATGTCATTTTGTGGGTCAAATAAATAGTTTTGGCAAAATTTTTTACTGCAGATTCAAAGTTAAATATTAAGGTACAAAGATTCCACAAACCACATTTTCATTCTTTACACAAGTACCCCCATGGTATTTTCAAGGTCAAAAACGACGGTCCCACAACGATTAAAAAATATAGCATATCAGGAACAGCGCCACCAATGTCTAGGTCCAATGGTCCAGCAAACATGAGCCCTAATACTAGCATATGGGACCATTTACGTACTAGTATAATGACACATTCGCTGTCTGTGGGCTTACTAAGCCAATCACATCTGCAAAATGCTGGGATAGTACAAGTCTTGGTTCCAAGACCTTGTTTATTCCGCGACGCGAATCATCACCAGATGAATTGCTATCACAGGAAGCAGCTGATATGCCTCAAAAAAGGGAGCTGTCACAGGGAATTGCATATCAGATCGCAGCTCCAGGAAAGACATCTTGGACCTAAGACTAGGGTGTTCCGGAGAATGGTTACTTGGAAGTTGCTAGTGGACCTGAAAATTCTGACGATCTTTGTGGCATATAGAAAAACAGGGTATGGGAATAATTAAGTTTGGAAAGTAGACTTCACCATGCACGTCATGCGTGCAGTACTGATGTAACCCCTTCCCAAAAGAGGTCTTGGTTATAATTTCAAATGTTATTTCTTGATGACTATGTTTTCCTTTTGCATACTTAAATTGTTCTTTCCTGAGCTTTCGACTTTTCTACTGGTAAGCAGTGTTCCAGTGGTTAACCTTTGATCTATTGCCTATTCCTTTTGTCAAAAAGCCTGCTCTTTGTTCAGTTTGTCTTTAATGTTCCTGCTTTCTTAGGAGATCGCAGAATGCTCTTTGTATCCACTGCCTTTAATCTTTGACTAGTACACTAGTGTGTACACTCCCAGTAAATTTTATAGGAGATCAGCAGGATGTTGAGACACTTAATCCCTAGTTGTTGTTGTTCACACCTTACTCCAAGCTGTGAAAGCCATAAACTTCTGCTGAGTGCTCATCTGCTTAGATACTAGATGACCAATAAGTATTGGAGTCATGTGTGACATTTTTTAAGTTGTCCAATAAGAGCCTGAGCCAGTCATGTGGCAAGAGCATGTTCTGGGTGGCAGTTTGCCCCAGAGTTTTGGCAAGCCTGGAGTTCCAAACTTTGCCATCATACTGACTACATGCCTGCCAAATTTTTTCTGCGCTCTGCACTATTTTCCTTTGGACTGGAGGACCTCCAAATCCAAGTCTTCCCCTTATGTTCACGAGTGTTGGCTCTCTATCTTAGGTAAGTTTGAGTTCCTACTTATATCATTTTATACTATTGTGTATCTTTTATGGGGTTCAGTCGTTGCATTTTTCACTGTGACTCATGTAAATTGTAAAAAGAAGTGTACCGATTGATTTTATAAAGTTTGGACTTTGGGATATTTTGAGAAGTCCAAGCAAATTTATGATGTTGAAGGTTTTGGTACATATATCTCGTAATTTCCACTAGCCAGTAATGTTCTGAGACGAGATCCAAAAGAGGTGTTTCCTCAGAAAGCTTTGCTTTTACATTTAGCTTAAGGCGTGTTTAGCGAATTATTTGAGGTGGTTTGAGTGTGCTTTTCAACCACTTTGACTTATAAATTTAGTGGAGGCTGGGAATAAGTTGTGTTCTTCACTGCATTGAAAAATATGAGCAGATTTTGAATATATGTGTAAGTCAGGACTTATCACCCATCATATCCATGGTGTAAGTGGCAGACTGACTGTAGTCCTACAGTTTGGACTGATGCTTTTGTGATGCTTTTCGATCACTATGGTTTATTTGAACAGGGTTTTGTGATACAGATTCTGATTTGCGTTGAATTCATCTGGAGTTAGAGATATGAATTGTCTCTGGGTCAAGCTGTAGACTTTGTTTTCATATATACCTATATATAAAACCAGTCTGATTAAGAGTTGGAGTTTTCACCAATTGATTCCTACCTCATGATATGTGGGACTGAGAAATGTATTCTTAGAGTGATCCTGTTTAGTTTTAAGATTTGTTCCAAGTCAATGCCTCAAATGTATTTTCCCTTTACTTGTTAACTCACATGCAAGATGGTATTTTATTTTGAGGTTCATACACGATGTACAGCTACCAAAGCATGTAACCCACAAAAAGTCGGTTGCGTTGGTCTGACCTCGTAAATGTTTTTATATTAATAATGTGGCATGGACCACTAAGCTCTCTATCTTAGTTACTGAACTATATGTTCTGAAAGAGGGTCTGGATGGGAGTATCTGCAGTCCACCTGAAGAGCTGTCTCCTGGCATCCCAGCCACCAAGCTATTGAGACTTGCAGACATAGCACAAGTACACCAAGGCATCTACGGCACTAATCACCAGCATCATCCTTGCAAGATCTGGAATTATTCTTTTGCATTACATTTCTTCTGCTGAACTGTTGCTCTCCACTTTTTGTCACACAAACATGACGGCTACACAACATGACGGACTCCTGTTCTCCCATCTTGGAACGACTCGTCGCAACTCATCTCTACATCTACAACTTTGGCTCCATTTTTTTCCCGAGAGCTCAAAGTGTATTCTAACGTAACAGGATCCTGTATTTTCTGTATATCTCCTATTTTAACTTACATGTATGGCCATCTGAATTGGTGTTCTCTGGAGTCACTTCATGTTTCTCTTACTGATTGGCTTGTTTATTCCCTCCAATAAAGCAAAATCTCTTTTGTACATAAATCCTGAATTGTCTGAGGTCAAGAGTTTTTTTCAAAAGGGAGTTACATGTAGATTAATATGAAATTTGGTTCCTGCTATTTTGAAATGTGAACCACGTGTTACACTGATAGATGTCGTGACCAATGGTGAGTGTCTGCCATGTATGTGTGTACATTTTCGTGTACTGCACATATACTCTTGCATGTGTAAGCACATGTTGCTTGCTACTCTTCCCCTACTGTTAACTATCAGGTTTTGAAGAATCTATGAATTTGAAACTGGTGGTGACATACGTAGCTCTCATACAATCATGTCATCTGTGTCGAGTGAAATACAGTTTGGCTTCATAGAGTACCGAGAATTTGTACAAAATGAAATCAAATGCCACATTGCAGCTTGTTTTTTTTTGTTTTTTTTAATCAGAAGTACTCATACTCTTATAAGTGCTTGAAAACCAGTACTTGTATATGTACTCGGCTGGCAAAGTACTCAGACTTCCATTGTTCTTGGAAATCTAAGTACATGTACTCTGCAGTACTCAGAAAAAGTACTCGACTGCATCACTGCCAACTACAGCCTCAGTAATTTTCGAACTTACACACTGCTTGGCCACATCATATTATACATATTATAACCATGGGCTTACTCACAGAACTTTGAGGTTCATCATCTGCCATGAACAAACCCTGTACCCCTCAGTTCAGGGGGTAATACAGCTTTTGTTTTGAGCTGAGAAACCCAGCACATTCTCACTATTCATGACATCACTGAAGCTCTAGATGAGAAACAAACAGTTGATGTTATTATATTTGATTTCTCAAGAGCTTTCAACGAAGTCCCCCATCATGGACTAATCCACAAACTAATATATTATGAAATCAGAGGGTTATTTCATACTTGCCACGTGGATTAAGAACTCAACAGGTTCACGTACATATACATGTAAGTTAATGGCACAACTTTAATAGTGTGTCATCAGCAGATCCTTTTTTTTTTCATTTTAAACTTTTCCTTTCTAGAATTTTAATGTCGTTATTTTGGTGTGTGTGTACAGTAAAGTATTTCAGTATTGAGTTTCAGTTTTAAATTTTAGAGATTTGGTCTGAGTAACCATTATTCTGTAATTAAGAGAATTTCCTGGGCGCTATAAAATTGCAGACATTTTGAGTTCAAGTCATGGTTTGTTCACTTGAATTATGGATAAGAAGGGTCTAATGTAATGTACATGTAATTGCAAACACTCTGAAATCCTTTTGAATCATTACAGTTACCCAAGACTAAGATTTGTTGGTAATAATCCAGTATACAGTGCAAACATGAATTCAATTTGTCAAGTTGAGGTGTATTTAATTTGAGGTATTGCGTATTCATTTGAGCACATTCCAATATTGAAATTTGACTCAAAATTCCTGATGCATGTGCATTTGTCAGTTATCGTAGGAAGACCAGTGACCTACATGTACATGTACCCGGTACTTTGAAATGTTGAAAGCGAATTTGGGTGTTAGTTCTTGTTGAAACCACTGATTGTGTTTTGTATTTTGTAAAAATTTGAACAAGTGGTAAACACAGCATATTAAACCATGTTACTGGTTATACTCTCTTTTCTTTTTCAGTGTTTGGAAGAAGCATCCACTGTTTATCAAAGATTGGAGAAGACTTGTACATTGAACCTTTAGATCATGGGGTAAGATGCCAAGATTAATTTCAACAATAATGTATCATTACTAACATTTCATTTATCTGTGCCAATTCTGTAATCAGGGTACCTCCAATGTGTTCCAACTCAGAATTTCCTGAAAAAAAATCACTAAACAAAGGAAAAGAATGTTGTAACTAAAGATCTGTAATGTTTTTTCTTGTCATACATGTACACCAAGCTTTTAGAAGACGGATTTTTGTGCTACTCCTTGGCACCTACACATATAGTAGATTGTAAGAGAGTTGAAAGTTACAAGCACCATTTGTTCTTAATTCTTCTTTATATTATCAGCTGGCTCTCAGGACAGTGAACTCTTCCAGGTCAGCTTATGCCTGCTTTCTATTTGCTCCAAGTTTTTTTCTGTCATATATCAATGAGTCATGGAATGAGCAGAAGGCCAGCCAACAGGAAGAGGACAGCTTTAGATGCAGAATAACCATGAAGGTACGTGTACATGTACATGCAATACTGACACTGGAAGAAAAGTATCCCACACTCTTTAGGGAACACTGAAAACGAATGTACATGTATACTTGCAACAGGATTTTTGTTCACTGTATGCATCGTGTACATATTATCACAACAGTGACAGTGGACTTGGTGAAGTAGTAGGGCATTAATAGGTGATGACAGGCACATTTTGTTAACCAATAAATCACAAAGCATGTGGTATACTGCCATGGAATAAATACCTTCGTGCCACTTACCTCTCTTTGAACAGTGTACATAGTATGTGTACATTCAACTCAAGACCAACAATGTTCAACTGAATTAGTTCCACTGAGCAGTAAAGACCTTTTTAATCATCAGTAAATATTTTAGGCAATTTTCATGGGCCATGTATTACATGTGTTTACCAGTGCTTTGCCATTAATCACTACTCAGGACTTGTTTGAACCATTAGTCTTGAAGAAACAATAAGGGGAAGCTAGATAAGGCAGTGAAAAAAGTTGTGGAGTGTTTATACCAAAAAGTACATTGTACATGTATACACGTAAAGTACATGTATAAAATCCCTGCGACGCTGTGAATATTTACTCACACGGTTCGGGGAGCGGACTATTTCATTGAGTCTGTTTAATTTTTCAGGGTTGCAGAGTCCGTCCTAAAGGCCAGCCTAAAGGCATATTAATGCTTCAGTGGTTGTCCCCTAGCCTCTACAGCTCTTACAAACCACCAAAAACCACCAAAAGTACATCACAGTACCGTTGGGGGCCGTTTTCCCAGGCTATCCCGATTTGAGGGGGGCCCTCACCATGCGCCAGCCAAGCCATACCACCACCACAACACCCCCTCCAACAAAAATAACACTTCAAAGACAGCCGAAAGAGGCCTCTGACAAGTTCCAGACAGCTGTCACTGATAAAAAACATTCCACTGCCTGCCCCATGCACCGTTTTGTAAACAACCCATGAGATTGTATACAAGGGACCACTTAGCACACAGTCCTATGGGAATTGGCTGGAGGCTGGATCAAAGCCGGCTGGATTTTTTGCATTTAATCTGGCAGGGGAGGCCCTGGCTTTAAAATGACTAAACCAGGTTTTTCAGCATGTACAGGGGTAGGATATGATAAGTAGTCGTGGAATTCAGACTAAAAAAAAAACTAAATGTTAATTAGCTCTAATGTACTCGCCCAAAGAGGCCGCTCCCTCTTCCCAGGGTAAATGTACATGCAAATCAAGTATTATCCCTAATGGTCCTCAATCTTTCACCTGTTTGAGGACTGTTAGGGTTAATACTTTTACCTGCTACACCTTTCTGTCATTTCCATTGTAACATTGCAGTACTTCAATATTAGAGATTCATCAATCCTAATTTTGGATTTTTATAAAAAAAATAATAAAAGTCTCATATTTATCAGTTCCTAATCTGATACATTGGTTTTGATCACATGTATCACATTGATCTTCCTTCGTTCTCATTCTTTACCCTTTAGTCTTGCCTGTCGGTCTTTAAATCACTCTACACACTGGAGAAAACAGTCGATAAATGTCAGATTTATGTTGATCTGAAAGATTGCCGACTAGTCTTTCTTCTTCATTGCAAGCATGGTAGGTTCCTTTAAGTATGTTACCACAAGAACTAATTGAAAGAACTCACTTGATATCAAATTTGGCCTTTAGGTCACCAGTTTCAAGGCTTCAACGTAAAATAAATAAATTGAAAGTAATGAGAAGAAACAGTGAAGTACATTGTGGACATTTGAAGATGCTTGGTTGGAGCAAACATATTCCAAATGGGCTAAATGAATTGAAGGCGCAGCTTCAAAAGGTTAGCAGTTCTCAGACTTGAATGCAAGTCTGAGAACTGCATATGATCATACACATGGACACCCCTTCAACGGACAATAATCTGGAAATGCCTTTTTTGAGTTGTTAGAATTGAATTGGGGAGCCCACACCATACACAACAGGGAACCTCCTTCGTATGGGTAAAATTATTTGCTAGGGAGCAAAACCACACTTGCAAAATGATAAGGTTACAAAATCCCAACAATTGGCAATAAACACTCATGGCCACGGGTGACGCCTTTATGGATTTTTGTAAAAGGTTTTTGACTGTTTCTCTTCCCTTTCTCTTTCCTTTCTCTTCCCTTTGACTGTTTCTCTTCCCAGTTCCTGTAAGTTAGCTATGTATAGATTCGTTACAGTTACCTGGACTCGCATAAAAGCAACATGGTAACACACAAATGTTTGATATTTACAATATTTACACCTAAATTCATTTAGACCGGTGCCTTGCATGTTGTACAGATTAAGTGCGCCTTATAAGTGCTATATTATTATATACAATTCGGAATTTGCAACAAAATAACTGCTTTTGTGAATATTCCGAGTCACTTAAAAGTTGTCTCAAATGGCTCAATGCATGGTACGTGACCTGCGAATATTTAAATACCAGTAAATTATCCTGGAAGTTAGTAATATCTGAAAAGTTAAAAACTGACTGTTCAATATCCTCAATCAATTGGAAATACTCAGTTTAATTGATATCTGCAATTTCAGTTCATCAGTTCACATCGTATACATTTGTCAGTAATTTGTTCAACTTTTCCTTAATCTCAAATCTGTCTAAAATTCTCTGATTCAGTTTTTCAGTTCTCTAATTCAATGTTCAATCAACTGTCCAAATTGTTGTTGTTGGCGTCCGTCTGTCTCGGAAGATACTCATCTGTGCCTTGGTCAGTCCGTTGTACTTGCACAGTGCCTGCTGTAACTGTAGAGCCCCATGTGGGAGCGACAGGTCCTTTGGCATTTGCTGCAGGTGTAGTTGGTGGTAGTGGCAACAGGAGCTGACTGGAGCCTCTACCACCTGCGGATCCTCCTTTCTTCCCGCTGACTTTTTCTCCTCTTCTCAACTTGCAGGACCCCTGCCTTGACAGAAGATCGCCCGTTGGTGTGATCTCATGTCGTTGATTCTACATGTAGGTCCGTTGAGCAGACGCCGCATGCCTTCAGATAACGTTTGCAGACATCTTTGAAGCGGACGGTGGGCCTTCCAGTAGGCCGCGTCCCTGTGGTAAGCTCGCCATACAAAACATCCTTTGGAATGCATCCGTCGTCCATGCAGCAGACATGGCCCAACCAGCGCAACTGTCTCTGGGTCAGGATTGCAAACATACTTGGCACACCCACTTGAGACAGGATATCTTCATTTTTGACGTGATCCTGCCAAGTGATGCCCAGGAGTCGTCTAAGGCAGCGCATTTGAAAACCATATAGCGTGCATTCTTGGCAGGAGTGCACTGTCCAGGCTTCGCTCTCATAGAGAAGGGAACTCATAACACAGGCTTGGTACGCCTTCATCTTTGTACTGGTTGTCGGCATGGTGTTGCCCCATACTCTTTTTGTTAGGCAAGCCGTTGCAGTTGCTGCCTTTCCAATCCGGAAATTGAGCTCGGCGTCTAGGAAAAAGGTAGAGCCCAAGGTAAGTTAAGATGTAGACCACTTCCAAGGTGTGGTTGGCGATGGTGATTTTGGGAATGCTACTGACATCCTGGCCCATGATGTTGGTCTTTTTCAGGCTGATGGTGAGGCCGAACTTGAAGCATGCTTCCCCAAAGGGAGTGACGAGCCGCTGGAGTGCTTCCTCACTGTGGACAGTAAGGGCAGTATCGTCTGCATAGAGCAACTCCCTTATGAGCACTCTGCGCACCTTCGTCTTTGCTTTTAGGCAGGCCAAGTTGAAGAGGCTCCCATCATTCCTAGTGTGGAGGAAGATGCCATCTTTAGACTGTCGAAAGGCAAAGCGCAGCAGCAGGGAGAAGAACACGCCAAAAAGTGTTGGGGCCAGGACACACCCTTGCTTCACACCGTTCTTGATTTGGAAGGGGTCCGATGATGATCCATCAAACCAAACGGTGCCAGTCATGTCATCATAAAAGGATATGATCATCTTCAGGAACAGAACAGAACCAATCCTGTGTAGGAGGGTGTAGAGGCTTGTTCGGCTGACCAAGTTGAACGCCTTGGTAAGGTCAATGAAGGCAAGAAACAAAGGGCGTCTCTGTTCATGGCGCTTCTGTAACTGCCTGAGGGTGAAAACCATGTCAATTGTCGACCTTGCAGCTCTGAACCTGCATTGTGACTCTGGGTACACACGATCAGCAAGTAGTTGAAGCCTGTTGAGGACCACTCGGGCAAAGGCCTTTCCCACGATGCTGAGGGGGGAGATCCCGTGGTAGTTGTTGCAGTCACTGCGGTCGCCCTTGTTTTTGTAGACCGTGACGATCTTAGCATCACGTATGTCCTGCGGTATCTTGCCTTGCTCCCAGCATTGGAGCATGAGGTCGTACAAGTGGCTGAGGAGGGAACTCTCTCTGCCAGCCTTGATGATCTCCAGTGGGATTCCATCACTTCCTGGTGCTTTTTCACAGGCTAGCGATTCAATGGCCCTGCTGTGCTCTTTGATGGTGGGTGGTATATTGAGCTCCTCCATGGTGGCCAGGGGAGTGGTGTTCTCAATGGCTGTGTGGGTGACTGTTCTCTCTGGAGTACACTTCCTGGTAATGCTCTGCCCATCTCTCCATCTGCTTCCTGCGATCTGTGATGATGTTGCCTGAGGTGGGTTTAAGAGGAGTGATCTTGGATGTTAGCACAGTCCGCAGCGATTTGGATATCACGGCACAGGTTCAACCAGTAGTCGTTGGCACACTTGCGTGCAGTCCATTTGGCATTATTGCATGCTACTCTAAAGGTAACCAATGTTTTCTTGGAGGGCTGTCTCTCGAAACGTCGACTTATTCCCTGGTTTTTCTCAGAACCACACATACTCAAGAAAGAGATTGATCCATGGTGTAACCGCAATCGTTTTACTCATAGGGCTGTCTCTTGTAATCAAGGAGTGCGGCATGCTTGGCAGCGATGACAGGCTCTATCTCCTTGATCTTTGCCACAAAACAATCTTTTTTCTTCCTCACTCTCTTTCTGAAGATGACCGAGGCAGCCTCATAAATGGCATTGCGGATGTGGTTCCATTGCATTGTGGCGCTCTCTGTGGGGCTGTCCATAAGGGTGTCATCCGTGGCTTTGACGAAACGTTCATGCAGATCAGGAAATGATTTCCTAGTTGTGTTTATATGTGGGCAACCCTTTTGCTTGGAACGATGGATTCGTTTTGGTTAGAGACGCACCATGCTGCTGACCAAGGAGTGGTCGGTGTGGCAGTCAGCACTGTGGTAAGTGCTGGTGATAAGCATGTGGTTGAGAAGGGGTCTCCTGGTAATAACGAAATCTAGCTGGTGCCAGTGTTGGACCTAGGGTGCCTCTAGGACTCTGTGATGTGGTTTGGTAGGGAAGAATGTGTTGGTCATGCAGAAATCGTGGTAGGAGCAAAGCTCAAGTAGCCGCTTTTCGTTCTCATTGAGCTTGCCAATACCACAGTGTCCAATGTAATGTGGCCAGGAGCTGTGGTCAGGGCTAACTCGGGCATTGAAGTTTCCGAGCGGGAAGAGGGCTTCACTAGGGGAGATCTCTCTGATTTTGGCCTCAAGCTCTTCATAAAAAGCATCTTTAGCGTCAGCTGTGAAGCAGAGTGCGGGGGCATAGATGCTAAAGATGTTTGTAGGAACAGAGGAGGTCATGAAGCGGAGAAAGAGGATTCGTGCAGTCCCCCGAGATGGAGGTTTAACTGACGACAGGTGGGAGTTACGTACAGCAAACACGACCCTGAAGAGTCCGCGCTCATCTGGCTCCAGTCCTTGCCAGAAGAACTTGTAGTCCTTCTCCTTGAGACTACCAATGGAGGGGAGGTGTGTCTCCTGAAGCGCGGTGATGTCGATGTTGAGCTTCGACAGCTAGCGGTCAATGATGACGGTTTCCTGGCATTGTCAACTTACTGGAGGTCATCAGAACGGCTAGGGCACATTGTTCTGACATTTCAGGTGGCCAGCCGTAGGGCTGGTAGTTTCATCTTGCTTCATTGTTTGCTTGGTGCTGGGTTTGCAGTCTGCTTTTCGGATGTTTTGTCCTAATCTCCAAGCACCCATTGAAGCAGGCAGACTGTGGCGTGTCAACTCCTAATTGGCTGGGGGCTGCCCAGCTTGAGGCGGGCAGTAGTTGACCAATGAGATGCGATGATCCCTCCCACTGTCGGAGACAACCCGTAGCGCCCGAGCATACACCAGTTCACTCTGGGCTTATCACTCGTAACTGTTGTCTCCAATGTTGGTTCTGTTGCTTGGACAACGACACAGGAGTGACCTCTCCAGGGCGCGCGCGTCCACAAGCCAGTGGGTCCGCGCATAATGTCTCTGGGGCCCACTGCTGCTCTGAGATCCACAGCAGATTCAGCCAGGGGTCACAAGATGCCCTGTTACCCTGTGATGCCACGAGAAGTACATGCACATGTATGAATAGGTCCTATTATATTACGGCACAAGTACATGTACATATACTGTACATGTACAGCATAAAAGTACCTGACATGCACACATGTGAACGACGTGATGTCAACAAAGATCTCTCAGTTATGATAAATGAAACAAATGTATGTTGTGTGTTTAGAATAATAAAACTCAATCTTATACATGAAAATGCATTTGATGTACATG